TTTATTCAAATGTTCAATCTGAATATGTGTTATTCTTTTGTGCCAAAGTCATGCATCATTGTTTTTATTTACCATAAGACGCTTAAGTTTAAAAGATAAGTTATACAATGATATCATGAAGATATTGTTGACCCTTTTTCCAACAGGCTTTATTTCTTGAGTGATTTTATCTTCTATAATGCATTCATTTTTTTAAAAGTTGATCTTGAGTCCCTTGTCGCATAGTTGACTTATGCTTAGAAGGTTATGCTTCAACCCTTCAATATATAATACATCATCAATAGTAGTAAATGGAGGAGTCCCAAAATTTTCCAATACCAAGGATTCTTCCTTTGTTGTTGTCTCCATAAGTAACAAATCCAATAGATTTAAGAGTAAGAGATGAAAATTTCAACTTGTCTTTGATCATGTGCTTGCAGAAACCACTATCTAGATACCACATGTTGGTAATGGTCTTCAAGCATACCTCATGTTCATCATTTGAATGGTGTAAGGCCATTAATGTGATGTTTGCACATTCTTCATTTTCCGAGTTGGACCATAATGGAATAAGTATATCATTTTTTTATGTGAATCAATATATGAGATTGAGTAAACGACCTAAATAAGATGACCGTGAAGTGTTCAATCGGTACTCGTTCAGGAAGGAGAGGTGTGAGATACACCGACAAACAATACAATTAGACATTAAACCGAGTAGGAGGGTAGAGGGAGACTCGATGGTTTAGATCAGAAATCCACTAAGACTAGTATCTCAATCCATGTTAATATAATATTTTCATTGGAGTGTCTAGTACCAATTAGTAACACCATGAGTTCGTATAATATACACGTGGAGAGAATTATCCAATGCAAAATCAAGAGCTAACTACAATCATATTTGCACTCAAAATGTGAAGAAGCTACCTTTATAGAGTGCACTTTGAGATGTCTAGTAATATGAAAGGTCCAAGGTGTCTAATTGATCAGAAAGAGTTGAACATGCGTCAGAGAAGGTGGATAAAATTTATGAAGGATTATGATTTCGAGTTGAAGTATCATCCTGGAAAAGCCAACAAGGTAGTAGATGAACAAAGCAGAAAAGAGATATGTATAACAAAGTTAATGATGCTAGAACACAACCTGTTAGAGAGATTATGAGATCTTGATTTACCGTTCACATGGACTCAGGAGGGAGTTCTAATAATCCAAATGATTATAGTATGTGACATGTGGGGAAGGATAAGGCAAGCCCATTTATAAGTTGTACTATTGCAATCTAAGGTTGATAAACCAAATTTCACTATATTAGTGGATGAATTTCATGAAGGACTATGATATCGAGATGAAGTACCATTCTAGGAAAAGCCAGTGAAGTAGCCGTTTTGTAGGAAGGAAAATGGTGGTTGACCATATGGGTAAACGGTGAATCCGAGGAAGAAGAGAAACTCGAGAATTTTGAAGAATATTGTGACCCATTGGAAGTAGAGTAGCGCAACAGAGGAGAGCAAGAAACTGCAAATAGTTAGTGTTGAAAAGGATTCCAAGGTTATGTTAAGCTAGGAACAATATGGGTATAAGGAGAATACCTGTTGGAATTATCTTGGAATGTGTTTTTGCATTTCAAAACTCTACACACCCGGTGTGGTTGGAAATTACCTAGTAAAGGTCATTAATGGTATATAATAGATGGAATGAGGAATCATCAACAAAGACCTAAGTCACAGGAACACCAAACAGATGAACATGTTTCACCTGTGGTGATGAAATATTTGATTATTTCAAGAATTATACGTGGACTTTCAAGGTTCATACCATGCTAATTCAAAAAGAAAAAGGTGAAACTCGTATCCTTGTGGAGCAAGGATGATGAAAGTTTAAATTTCTACATTGGAGCATGGGTAAACGGGTTATCAATCAGTAACATGTGAGGTAAATGCAATCATAAGTTTTGAAATCACGTTGAGAAAATACAAGTTGACCACAAAGATAAGCAAACTTAGAAGCAGGGCACAAGTGTGCTTAGCAGGAGACGTAAGTGGAATGTGAAATTCGAGGACAAAACTCTTTTTAAGGGGGAAATGGTAATATCCCGACCCAAAATATTGATTTAAAGCCTATTTATGCAATGTGAATGAGATTGAAAGGCCTAAAGGTATAATTGTAATTTTTCCACCAAAAGTAAATTGGTGAATTCCCATTTATGTCATGTGATAACTTAAGTCAAGATGGGAAAAATTGAAAATAAGAAGTAATTAAGTTGTTAAGCACTAAGAACAATTTGGAGAACTCATCAATTTAAGTTGTAAAACCCCTCATCTTTAATCATGGTTAATAAGGATTAGTGAGAGAATGATAGTAAAAACACTTGTAATTGGACTCTAACTAGAACTAATGGCATAATTAGTAAATGAAAGTGATTGGAAAGGGTAATTAGGACATTTCTATGAGTAGATATATAAACTCAAATTGTAGAGGAATTCACCATTCTCTCTTCATTCTTTCCTTTTCCAATTCAGAAAAAGAGAAAGAACTCAAGAGAGAGTGAGAGATCATGAAAGTGGGAATCAAATGTGTAGGAAAGCTAATTCAAATAACTATCATATAGTGAAGTAATATAATATTTATATACATGTTTTCTATTCGTGAATTAACAACTTATTGTGAGGTAGCCTAAGATTCGTAGGTAAACTAGGTTACGATTCATGGAAGAATTAATTGTGAGTCTTGGATACTTAGATGTATCTTGAGATAGTGAGAATAAGGTGACATTGGTTCCAAAAAGGACTAATTGAAATACATGTGTAGAATGTCGAGACTCCCCGCGTGTGTTAAAATGGAACTTGTATCAAGAGGGTAATCATATCATGGTGGTGGTAATCCTACGCACCATAAATTTGGCCCTGATGGAAAGTTTTAGTAAGAAGTTCTAAGTCCATAAATCTAGTCTTGAGAATTTTTAGTAGGTAGAGGAAAGTTCTGTGAGGCTAGTTGTCTCCTAAGGTTTCATTTATAATACAAAATAGTGTATCTTTTATTAATATCAATAATAATGGACTTGTTTTATTAAATCAGCTCAATAACAGGTCCAGAAAATTTTAAATGTGGGGATAAAAAATAGTATAAATATTTTAACATTATTATATATTTATATATAATTATATCGACAAATAAATTCAAGTTACATAAAATATTTAAAATATATTTATTCTTTATAAATTTTTTTATTTTAAAATATATTTAACGATATTTTTATTATTGATCGTACCTGATCAGAGAAATTGTTGGCCTGCTACACGTCTGAGTTGTCGAACTGTTGATTTGATGGACAGAGGGTGGTGTACTTGAAACACACTTTGATGCCAAAGTAAGGGACGAGTAGAGCGATAACAAGTACAGAGATAAGGAAATAAGAATTAGATTACCGGACCCTCTAGTGGAAGAGGGTATTTATAATGAGCCTCCAGTGCAGGATCAACGATTACTATGCATTGGGTTGGGCTATCAGGCCCAACGCTGGTAACTGTTAGGGCTGATGTGGCGTCGTGAAGACCAACACGTGGTCTTCACCCTAGTGTAACTATTCTGTACTATCCGGGAGGTGGAGGTCCGAATAATCAGGACACAGATAGTTACCTGATGACGTGTCTTGGCGTAGGGGACACGTTGAGAACGTGAGGGAGGTCAAAGGAACTTCCCGAGCTGGATGGGTTCGGTCTGACGGGGGCCGGGAGAGAGGCGAGTCGGGCAGATATAAAGATCATGTCCGACGATCGTTGGTCCATACCCGACACGAGAAGGTGTTCTGTTCGATAGGTCTCTGTCCGACGATGAAGTCTTATTGACCCTTTCAACTTGGTGGAGTTTGGGTCTGCTCGACTATAGGTCAAACGTTGGTCCAGTCTAAAACAATTATCAACATTAAAAATGTCACTATCAAATATATTTTTGAATTTTGAAGACTACCGTAACTTCTATAAATTCTTATAGTCTTACTCATCTAAATATTTTATGATTAAAAAATGACACTTATTATGCATAAAATTAAATAATCATTCAATCATTCATCCTTAATGTGAATGTATATTCTACACTCTTCAAAAAATTTGGTAGAATTGTTTTTTATTTTGCCAACAGAACTAATACATATCTAACTATAAAAATATAAAACTAAAAAAAAAAAATCAAACCTACAATTTTTTTAATCAAAGTGAAAAAACTAACACTAAGAATCTAAAAAGAGAACTTGAAATCGCTTAATATTAAACAACAATAAAATAAAACTATAGTGTATAAATAAGTTATAATAATAGAACTAATTAATTTTGATGAGGGCTATAAAAATATAGTATTTAATAGAATCATTAGAAAAAACTTGTTTTTTGTGGGGACTTGAGCCCCCAATCCCTTAGTCTTGTATCCGCCCCTGCTTGATAATTATCCATAAAATATGAATTTGAATTTGTGTCATTCTACTTATTCATCATTAAAAAAGAAAATAGAAAATTTATTATTTTTAAAATTATTTGACTTGTAATTATACACCTTAAAGAAAAAGAAGATAATGTATTTATTATTTTTTAAAAGTTTGACTCATTATTTTAATATAAACATTCTATTTAATTATAAACAATACTTTTAAATATTTATCAGTAAGGGTCAAATGCAATATTTTTTTATAGTAAATACAATCATATTTTAAATATATATTTATTTAAGTAGGATACTAAAAAATAAACATTCAATTTGTAAATAATACTTTTAAATATTTATCAGCAAAGGTCAAAAACAATAATATTTTAGATATATATTTATTTAAATTGGATACTAAAAAAAAACAAATACTTAGATATCCATCTCATATACATTGTAAGAAAACACATGGTTATCCAAGAATAATATCAAGGGTAAAAATGTCTTGTAAATATAAATGAGGCTATAAATAGAGCCACCAACACACACATTCTACACATGATAGAAAACCATTTGAGAAATTTATACAAAACTGTGTTTCACTCAAAATGAAACTTCAAGTCATTGTCATCTCTGCTGTTCTCTTTATATCTATGTCAGAGGCAGGTCATTACGGTTGGTGGTTTCCAATCAGGAACCTCAACGAACCATATGTGAGGGAGATTGTTCAATTTGCATTGACAGAACACCAGAAACAATCTGGTGTAAAATTGAGTCTAGTTGATGTAATCGATGGTCATTATATGGCAGGGGAGCATCATTCAACGCTCTATAAATTTTGGTTGGCGGCGAAAGATGAATCTGCTACTAAAAAATATGATGTTGGAGTTAATGTTCAAGTTGATCCCCATGTTAAGAGACTCGTTTGGTTCGATCCAGCTCCTTAATCATGTTTTCATAATATATTGAAAGACTATTATAAGTTGTACCAGTTTTCTTTCAATAAATAATATCAATAATAAAACTATTACTCAGATGAAACTCATATTCTATTATAATTTATGCATGTGTTATACTTTTTTCTAAAATACTCGTGATATGTGACTAGTTGATTGAGATTTTTCTTTTTAATTTTATTAATACTAATATATTGACGTTAATTATTATATTTCAATTATTTTTATTCCACATCAATTTTTTTTTAACTTTAAAATTATGTAGTATTTCACATGACTTTTTCTTTTTCGTTTTTTTTTTAAAAAAATTTTAACTATATAAAAAGTGAACATATCAAAACGTTAAGAATTGAATCCTCAACTTCTCGCCCATTGCGTAAGTCTCTTGCCACTTGCCTAAATTTATTATTTTGCAATGTTTTTCATTTAGATTTATAGATTATAAAACTACGTAAAATCATCTTAATATATATTTAAAGATAATTAATTTAATAATAATTCTAAGAAATATATTCTTCTGGACTGGGCTTACGCTTAGCCCACAATCAAGTAGGCCCAAACCCCATTGAGGTTAGGTCCAAGAGTACCATGCTGACGGGTAAAAGTTCTGCCGAGCACGACCTTTCTCCCGTCGGGCATAGGCCAACAGTTGTCAGGCAGGACCCCCACAACCGACCAGCCAACCTCTTCCTCCCCGTCGTCGGACAGAATTCAGCCTGCCCCAGGAGCTCCTCGAGCCTCCCCCACGTTCTCCACGTGTCCCTCATGCAAGGACACGTCATAAAGTAACTACCCACGTCCTGGAGATTCGGTCTTCCTCCTCCCAGATAGCGCAGAACAGTTACCCTAGGGCGAAGACCACGTGCTGGACTTCACGATGCCACGTCAGCCCTAACAGTTACTAACATTGGGCATGGCAGCCCAGCCCAGTGCTAGGAAACTGTTGGCCCTGCGCTGGGGGCTCACTATAAATACCCTTTTTCACTAGAGGGTCAGGTAACTTAACTCTCTTACTCTCTCTGTACTTACTTCCACTCAGCTCGTCACTTACTTTGGCATCAGAGTGTGTTTCAAGTACACCCCTCCTCTTCCATACCTTCGGTGGATAGCTAGCGGATCAACGACGCGTGGCAGATTATAGAGTCCCTTCTGGTCAGGTACGATCAGTGGCGCCGTCTGTGGGAACCTAAGCTTTCCCGTTCCTCCGAGCAGAGAACCAAAGCTTCACCTCTCAAATCTCAAGATCATGACTAACCCACGCCATGATGACGCTATTCACAACTCTGCCATCGCCCCGATCACCAACGGCGACAACCAGCTGGGGACGTCTCAACCCTAGGAGACCGACGTCAGGGACGACCAAACTGCTTCTCCCTCGTCCGAGGAGGTTACCCACCATGTCGTTCCTCGGGTGAGGAGTTCGGAAGTATTCCAGCTCATTCCCACATCGGCTAGAGCGGAGCCGACGATGGTTGCCTTCTTCGCGGCCATCAACCAGACGAACCATGTTGTTCCAACAAAATAAGCGCATCGGCGCGCTGGAACATGACAACTCGTCCCGCTCTCTTCCGCGGAGAAATCAGCGTGGGAGCTCCCGGAGCCCCTCTCCACGACCACGGGGGCGTCGGCCACAGCTGGAGAGGCCCCAACCGGTGGCCTCTAAGAAGCGAGCAAGATCACCACCCCGAAAGGAGAGGCGGACCCCGGAGCCAAGTGCGAACGGGCCTGAAGCCCCGGCCAGAAGACCGAGGGGGCGTAACCCGCCTCCTCGACACGAACCATCGCCTCCGCAATCCCCGATTCGGAGCGATGAGGACGACTACAGGACTCCTCTATCGCGGGAAATCATGGCATCCCCCATCCACCACGGGATGGAGAAACCACTCGTGCTCTCGACGTACGACGGCACCTCGGACCCAGATGATCATCTGGAAGACATCGAGGCTATGCTCGACTACAGAAACGTACGAGGAGCCATCAAGTGTAGGCTCTTCCCGACGACGCTGAGAAAGGGAGCCATGACATGGTACAAGAGCCTAAAGCCTGAGTCCATCACGTCGTGGAGGGTCCTGAAGGACCTATTTTCACGGCACTTCACGGTATCAAGGCGACATCCGAAGACGGAGGCCGCGCTGGGCGCAATCATCCAGGCCCTAGATGAGCCTCTCCGAAACTACATTGAGAGGTTCACGAGGGAAGCGGTCCAGGTAACGACGCCAGACGAGATAAAACGTTACCTGATGAAGCAGAGCTTACGCCGAGACTCCAAATTCTACGAGGTTGTGGCCATCCACCGACTAGACTCTCTCCAGGACTTCCTCGAAAGAGCCCGCCATTACATCCGATTCGAGGAGACGGAGGACGCCAACACCATTCGTGACACTAGAAACCGGGAAACCCCCAGCGGGTCCCGAGATGAAGGGGCATCAGCCCACCGACGCGGGGGAGACCGGCGGCGGAAGGACCGTCCCCGAGAACCCTGCGAGCAGCGCGGCTCCATTGGCCGTTTTACCGAATACACGACACTGGTCGCTTCTCGCGAGCGCATACTGGCTGAGTGCGCCAATTCAGAGTTTGCCCAGGGAGGTGTCCGTTTTCCAAAACCGGCACCCACCAAAGCCAACATGGGCAAATCCAAATACTGTCGCTTCCACCGAAGCCACGGGCACGTGACCGAGGATTGCATCCACCTGAAGGATGCAATTGAAATCTTAATCAAAGACGAGCATCTGAAGAGGTACACCCGGGGAGGAGAGCCCCCACGACAGGAAGCCCCTGAGGCCAAAAGAGTCAAGGACCTCCCCCCTCCTGACAATGATTCCGGCCTACAGGTGGCCCTCAGCTTTGGGCGACCTGAGGACTGGTTCGCACTAAGAGACTTCGGTCTCCCTGCCGAGCTTCAGTTGCCCGAGGAGCCAATACGCCCTGTTAGCCGCTGGGAATACTTCCCCAAGGCAATGGTCATTTCGGGAGGGACCCCGAGCAAGCTCACGATCAGGTCGATTAAAAGAAAGTTCGACGAACTAATAAACAACAGCGCAGGTAAGATGAGTACGCTCGATAAGTTCCAAGGACGATCCAACCCGATCACCTTCTACCTCGAAGAGCTCCCCGGGGGAGCCCCTAACTCGGCCATACCTCTGCTAATACGGGCACAGATGGACAACTTTGATGTCCGTCGCATCCTGGTCGACAGAGGAAGCTCGGTGGATATCATGTATACCCACCTCTTCTCGACGCTCCAGCTCGACGAGACCAACCTGGCCCCCTACCTGGGCTCCGACCTCCAGGGCTTCAACGGGACAACGACGAGGCCATGGGGATACGTGGTACTCAAGGTCACCTTCGGGAAAAAGGAAACAGCCAGGGAAATCAACATCCGTTTTCTGGTCGTCGAATGCCCATCTTTGTATAACTGCATCCTAGGCAGGACAACGCTGGCCGAACTAACCGCGGTGCCATCGACCGTCCACCTGAAGATGAAGTACTACACTAGGTTGGGAGCCGTCGTCACCCTCAACGGGGACATAGAAGTTGTCCTATGATGCTTTGAAGCAGCGATGAAGGGCCTTAGCACGATCGGTCCCGTGACCAAAGCCACTAAGCCCTCCCCAATCTAGGAGAGCAAACCGAAGGATCACGTCAACGTCGTAGACCTCGACTGCCGTTTCGACGAAGAGCCAGACCACGGGGACAAAGCCGACGACACTCCTCCAACCTCCAACGGGAAGCCTATCCACCCAACGCGCCCCATCCCAGACGGGGACTTCGAGATCGTGACCCTCGGGGCAAACACAACGAAGACCGTCAAGATTGGGGCAGGGTTGCCCGACCTAGCAAGGAAGCAGCTGAAGGCCTGCCTCCGTGAGAACACCGACCTCTTCGCCTGGAGCACCGCAGAGATGCCCGGACTCGACCCTGAGGTCGCCTGTCACCAGCTCTCCGTCAACCCGACCACTAGGGCCGTAGTACAACGTAGGCGTAGGCAGTCCCCCGAAAAATCGGCGGCTGCTGAAAAAGTTGTAAAAGACCTCCTAGAGGCAAATTTTATTTTGGAAGCCCGGTATTCAACTTGGCTGTCCAACGTTGTATTGTTTAAGAAGTCTAATGGAAAATGGAGGATGTGCGTTGACTACACAGATCTCAACCGGGTATGTCCTAAGGACGCCTATCCCCTCCCTAACATTGACAAGCTCGTCGATAACTCGGCGGGCTTCAAACTACTGTCCTTCATGGACGCATATTCGGAGTACAACCAGATCCCTATGGCCGAGGCCGACAAACAGAGCACAGTTGTTGCGGTGGAAATAGGATATCAAACTATTAATGAGTTTGAATCGCAATTCAATTCACAACCGCTCTTTGATTTATCCGAAGGAAAAGGTCAAAAAGGGAAAACCTATTTTGCATCGTAAACACAATGCTGGGAAAGATCTAGGGTTCGGGGGTTGGTTAAATTTAGGGAAGGTATTAGCACCCTAAACTTCCGTAGTACTCTACGGGAACCTTTTGTTCAGATGTTTACTATTTGCTTTATTTATTTGCTTAAGGTATATGTACAAAGGGATTAAAAGTGAGAAAAGAGACCTAAGGGGTTAATTCTAAGTTTACTCGGCAAGACATCGCATCTTGTGCCTACGTATCCTTACGGGAGTGGAATCAGAGTAATCGTAGTTCCCCTCAAAAGGGAGGTTAGAGACTTCTTGACTGTGGTCAAGGTCTCAAGGGGAATAAACATGTCTTAAGGACACGCTTACATGGAGTGTAGAAACTCCAAATCTCTACATTGAATTGTTAGGTTGTAATTAGGGTTAAATTAGGGATTCCACGGCGGGAAACCCTAAAATGAGCGCGGCGGCTCTTTGACCTAATGCTGGGGGTAAAATTGTAATTTGGCCTGCGGCGAGGCATTTGTGAAAATTAGGGTTTGTAGTTTGTAGTTTTGAGGATTTGAAATTGAATGTGTGAAGTTTTACGGACTATTGGCGCGA